TCTAAAGACCTACCTTACTTCACCTCCCTTGCTCTCAAAGCCAGTTCGTGGTGAAGACTTGTTCGTGTACCTGGCAATGTCCAACTCGGCCGTCAGCTCAGCTCTCATCCGAGAAGAACTTGGGGCCCAACATCCGATATTCTACACGTCAAAAGCTCTCCTCGATGCAGAGACTCGCTACCCAAAATTGGAGAAACTCATTTTGGCCCTTGTGGTTTCTGCGAGAAAGCTGCGACCTTATTATCAAGCTCACCGAGTTATCGTCATGACCGACTTTCCTTTGAGATCAATCCTCCACAGCCCTGATGCTTCTCAGCGACTCATGAAGTGGGCTATAAAGCTAAGCCAATACGACCTCCTCTACCAGCCGAAGACTGCAATAAAAGCTCAAGCCTTAGCAGACTTTGTTGCAGAATTCACACCATCAGCCGAAGAAGAGAAGCTGGTCAGCAAAAAGAAGGAAAGTTCGAGAGCAGACAAGACCTCTACTGAACCTGACCAACCCAGAGACATGTGGCAGTTGCGCGTAGACGGAGCGTCGAACCAGAAAGGAGCTGGAGCAGGCGTCGTCATCATCACCCCAGATGGAACCCTGTTAGAGCAAGTTATCACGCTTGGCTTCCCGGCTTCAAACAGCGAGGCAGAGTACGAGGCATTGCTCGCTGGCTTGCGCTTGGCAAAGGAGCTATCAATCAAAAAGCTGGCCATCTACTCAGATTCCCAGGTGATCACAAGTCAAGCCTCAGGAGAATACATGGCGAAGCACCCAAGGATGATCTTGTACCTTGACAAAGTTCAAGAGTTGTTGAAGGCGTTTCCCACCTTCACCATCCAGCAAGTTCCCAGAGCAGAGAACGCGCACGCAGATGCACTAGCAAGCTTAGGATCGGCGCTGGATACCCAGTTCAGACGTTCCATCCCGGTCGAGCACCTTGACCAGCCTAGCATAGAGGAGGCAGAGCAGCCGGACCTGATGCAGATCGATGAGGATCCGAGCTGGCAAGACCCAATTATTGACTACCTAGTGAATGAAAACCTGCCCAAGGACAAGTCCGAGGCCAGAAAAATCAAGCAGAAAGCTGCAAGATACTACATGAAAGGCGACAAGCCTAATCTCCATTGCAGACAGGCTGCTTCACGAAGCACAAACTCAATGGAGTCTTTTTCGAGCATTTTGTCCCTGACATACGCTCGCAGGCGACAAGCCTAATCTCCATTGCAGACAGGCTGCTTCACGAAGCACAAACTCAATGGAGTCTTTTTCGAGCATTTTGTCCCTGACATACGCTCGCAGGCGACAAGCCTAATCTCCATTGCAGACAGGCTGCTTCACGAAGCACAAACT